CCCCCCCCCCCCCCCCCCATTTCTGAAATATAATTTCATCCATCATTATAGTAGAGGTTACAGTACATTACCTGCAGGGTTTTTGCATTGTAGTGTTTATTTCCTCCAAATACAGCATTTTCAAAGTAAACACCTAAAAGTTGAACTGACATTAAATTTTACTAAATATTCTTGATAACCAAAGTAATCAATACATTTAAAAATAAGCTTAGAAATTCAGTTATCTGAAACAATGTAAAATGTATAAGGAAAAAGTTTCAAACACAAAGTGGAGAAAGATGATGAAAAGCAAGACACCCGTTTAAATCTATCAGCTATCAGACAGCCATCCTGCGTCTCATCAGTACTACTTGGTATCAGAAGGTTCAGTCCAAACCCAGGCCTATAAAAAGATGAGTCATTGCTAACGTGACACACAATGAACACCAAATAATAGGTAAAAGCAAAGAACTTTCTTAATATCCCTGCAGCCTTACTACACAGAACATTCTGATGGCTGATTGGTTACAGAGGGATTTCCAAACTTCCAGATCTTCTAGTGAAAATTGGTGGGAATGTAAATGTAAAGAAAATCATTGGACCATAAACTGTCTTTAACCAGCAGAACGCCTGGCAAGATTTTTAATAGAGTGAAATTAATTATCAGAACAGTTTTCCAAGAACCAATGAAAGCTTCAGACGGACCTGGTGTTACCAGGTTTAAGGGAAAACAGCCATATTCTGTATTTACCATGCAAGGCCAATTTCTGAAGACAAATCATACTGAAGCATGTTTAAAGTTCACTGCACAGCATTTGGACAGGCTACCAAGAGGACAGAATCTGAGATAAAAATTAAACAGTTTGGATGCTGTAATGACATGTTTGGAGGGTGAGATGAATTACACATCACCCCAAAAACAGTGCACCGACAGTTGCTGACCTTTCTAATAAAGGCTTTTATACAGTGAATCTTAAACAGTAAGTGTGTTCAATTACCCCACCCAATTTTCTCACGTTATAACGCATAACCTTCTTTTTAGCTTTTGTGTGTGAATGGATTACTTGGGTTGTAACTAAGACTGGGTGGTAACTTTATTTCAAAAGCATAGGTAACTTTTGAAGATTTAATGAATTTACTCACAGGCAAAAGGGGCAGGAATCCAAAAATCCAACATAAAAAGTACAGAAAAACCAGAACCATGGAGACATCGGGGGAAAACATACATGAAGAGCCAGGGAAAGACGAGGACCCAGCACTGAGGAACTGCACAGGAAGAGTATATGTGGGAAACTAAACAAAGAGAGGACTAACGAGCTGATTGGGAGCAGGTGTGAACAGAGGTTTCTAGAAGGAGCTAGTGAAAAGGACCAACACAAGAGGGCAAGCAAGAAAAACCTAAGAACTCAAATATATCCAGAAAACACCACAAAATAGGAATTAAACCAATAATGCTAGAAAACAAAAACATGGATCAACGTGAAACTTAAAACTCAAAGAAAACCTAACAGAACCAAGACCATTATATGCTGCACTTATTTTACCTGCTGTTTCTGGTGGTAGTTTTACTGGGCGTGAAATTCAAAGATATTGTTATCTGAAATAATAGTGGGAAAGCTTTAGGAAACAAAATATACTAACTTCAGCAATATGTACCTTATTTCAATGTAAGTCTGGTAAAGCAGTAAAGTTGGAGAAAAACTGCTTACCTCAGTGTTTGACACAAATTGACAGAGTGTAAAACAGCAGTTTTAACACAACTTAAACTACAAGGACACTTATACTAAAAGGACACAAACAAGATTGGAAGTTTTACCTGCATTTTACAGGAAAATGATCAAGGCTAGCGTTGGCTGCTTCATTTTCCCCCGCTTTTCTTTTTTCTTCCTTCCCAACTGGAAAACAATTTACCAGGTATGGAGAGTTAAGGGTTTGATTCTGATAGGATCAGCGTTTTTCAGTTGCTGATGTGCAGTTTTCGAGATTCCTCGTGTGCCCCAGTGGGGGAGAACTTCACACAGTGCTGTGCAGGACCTAAAGCTGCCTCTGTGCTGATTTCAAACAGCTCCTTCTATGGTGAACATCTGCAGTCAGCAATATACAGCAGGTGTCAGCCACACATTTTGTTTAAGATATGTTCACCTCTTTCTTTTAATGTTCATATTTTTCTGTGTCAAACTGCTAAATTAATACATTCAATATACTCCAGTCAGGCATAACATTAAGGAAAAAGTGTACGAAACAACAATAAGCATTATGTGTTACAATACCCTACACATGTAGTGCAGAGGCCAAAGTCTTTAAGCAAAACATGTCCCAAACCATCACACTTCCTCTACAGTTTGGCCTTCCACCTATGGTGTAATTTAGCGTTAATGGTTTTGCAGGTAAGCAGACAAAAACGTGTGCTCACATCTCCATTGTTGGGGTTCATGGGGTGAGAATTCCCTGATTAGATCACCATTTATTTTAGTCTTTGTTCAACTTTCACAAATTTCTACGCGGTCTCTCATTTTTCCTGCTTTCACCCCATCAGCTTTTAAGATGCTCTGATATTCGCAGGCAGTTTCCCGTCGTTTGAAGTCCAGCATGATGAAAATCTAATTCAATTCACCTCCTATTGATAATGCCAAATCAGTGCACGTAGTTTTAAAGGAATTAAATGTCACACCAAATGCATAACTTTTATTTCCAATTTCTTGGCCCTTAAATCTGTTCAGTGTAGCAGAAAAGCAAACAGAGCCTAAAATAATACAGGAACTCTGGCATCCCTGAGATTTCACACTTCAGCATTTGTAGCTTTTTTTTTTCTTTTATAATTTAATTATATATGATATAACTCCCAATGCAAGATGGCATTGGGAGATAAGCATTATGTAAATGACTATGATCCTAACAAAGAAGGCTTTCTGGATTAAGGAAAGCTTATAGGGGTTCTCCATTTCTGTTCCTTTAAATGATTTTACTTCCTGTTTGAACTAGATTTAAAATCCTACCTCATAAAAAACTTTGCATATGAAATTTACTTACATAAACCATGGGATAAAATAGCAATTTGTTATTTTTCAAACTCAAAAATTGATTCACTGTTATTTTGATAAATAACTAAGTATTTTGATAAATAATAAGTGTGAAATGACACACTGAGGTTCAGAAGGTTCATAAACATCCAGGTAAACAGCGACCACTTGTGGCCAACTATAAGAACTGCAAACCTGCTGTGGGAATATTGTAAAACGTGAAATGCCACAGTGATGATAATAGTTACATGATACATACCGGTACATGTTGTGTTCTAGCTATTAAAAAAAAAATCAAAATAAAATGGAAATCAGGCCATATAATGGTAATCTTCAACCAGCCTTAAACATAAATCCAATATTTTGTTTTGCACTTTCATAAGTTATTTTGATCCTGATATATATTAATCCATAATGGCTCCCAAAGGCATAAAATAGGAAATCATGAAAATAATGAATCATTGTGAAATATGTTGTTATTCTGTTTTTACTGCAAACAGAAGA